GGCATTCATGCTCATCCACCATTTAGATGGATTCTAGGGATCTGAACTCTGATCCTCATGTTTGCACAGGGAGCACTTGAACCACTGAACAGTTTCCCGAGCCTCTTTCAGCCACTTTCCTTCCAGGATGTGATCTACCCACATCTCTTCCCCACGCCCACACTTTGCTTAGGTGACTCTCCCCATCCACCCTGATAGCTTTACTTCCTTAATGCTTGGTCATTCTGTGATGGAGGCAGCCTCCTGTGCTTACTTAATCATAGACATTTTAGCTGCAATTTGAGTACTCTAGTACCTCTGACCCTGTGTTGCTATAATTGCACAGAACCTTTCTGGAGAGGAGGAATTTTCCCAACCCCAGTGACTCCCATGAATTGCATTTATTTGTTTGTTTGTTTGTTTCTTTTTTTGGTTTTTTGAGACAGGGTTTCTCTATTGTTTTGGAAGCTGTCCTGGAACTCACTCTGTAGACAAGGCTGGCCTCGAACTCACAGAGATCTGCCTGTCTCTGTCTCCTGAGTGCTGGGATCAAAGGCACGCTCCACCCAATGCCTAGCTATTTATTTGTTTCTTGAAGGTTCATTTAGTTTTTAAAATTTTATGTGTATGGGTCTTTTGCCTGCGGTATCTCTGTGCAACACATGCATGCAGTGCCTGTGGAGGCCAGAAGTGGGATCCCCCCTGGAAATGGAGTTCCAGACCATTCATTGTTAGTGACCATGTGGGTACTAGGAACTGAACCTAGGTTCTCTTCAAGAGCAGCCAGTGCTTTTAGTGGCCGAGCCATCTCTCAAGTCCTCTGCATTCATCTTTTATTGAAGACAGGTTTTAAATTTTCTGAAGGTCACAGAGCCAAGTTAATGGCAGTTTTGATTAGATTTTATGTGAAGATGAAACGAGGTCCTTTGAGAGGCAGTGAATTCATTTCTGTCAGAGATGTGGTTCTGAGTGTAAGTTACAGAAGAGCCTAAGATGGCCAGCTAAGTGTCTTAGCAGCTAAATGCCACCTGCTGCCAATTTAAAATTGTAATTCAATTGATTGCTTTTGAGACTGGGTCTCAGGTGGTTTGGGTCGCGTTGATTGATCTCTAGTGTGGCTGACCTTGAACGTCTGAGCCTCCACCTTCAGGGTGCTGGGATTATGGGTGTGAATCACCATGCCAGGTTTGTGCCGTGCTGGGGATGGAACCAGGGCTTTTGCATGCTAGGCAAGCACTCCGTCAGTCTGTTCACATCACAGACTTATTTTTCTCTAAGGGTTTGAGGGTTGCAGCTGTGCTTAATCCCTCATTGACGCAGTGGAGTAGCAGAGCTGTATAGCGGAGGCTAGGGTTGCTTGTTTTGCTGGAAATATTCACCCTTGGCCCTTACACAGCACTAAATTGAAGTTACCTCTCTGTATTTGCCTACAGAGATGAGTCACAGGCACATGACACTTATCCTCAAGATACATTCTGAGCTGGGAGATTTTCAGGCTGTTCCAGTGTCGGGTGGACTTCACCACATGTACTAAAAGAAACTGACAGGGCTGTGATGTTACAGGCAATATGGGCTCACAGGGCCGCTACTGTGTGTGTGTGTGTGTGTGTGTGTGTGTGTGTGTGTGTGTGTGTGTGTGTGTGTGTGTGTATGTGCTCTTATACATGTGTGGAAGTCAGATGACACCTGGTAGTAAGTTGTTTCCTTCAACCAGGTGGATCCAGGAGACAGAGCCCAGGACCTCAGGCTTTGTGTCAGGCACAGTTAGTCCCTGTGTCATCTTGCTGGCTCCGTATTCTCTGCTTTCCGTGCAGAGAATGAACTGGCGTCATGTTATAAAGTCATAGCATGAAGTGCTGTCATAGCAGTCTACCCCACCCTGTTCCCACCCTCTCCCTGGCATCTTCTTCCTCTGAGCACTGTCCATTCTGTTCTCACCTGGGAGGTTAGCTGACGTCTTAGTGCTTGTCACTCCGAGTTTTTTTTTCAAAGTTTATTTTTGTTGATGATTGCCTGCAGGTAAGTGTGTGTACCATGAGACTGCAGTGCCAGTGGAGGCCAGAAGAGGGCATAGTGTACCCTAGAACCAATGTTAGAGACACTTGTGAGCTGCCATGCTGGTAACTGAACCTGGGTCCCCTGCAAAGCAGTCAGTGCCCTTAACCACTGAGCCCTCTCTCCAAACCCACTCTGTGATGCCTTTCCCAGGGATGATTCTGATGCCAAAGAGCTAAGATAGTTTATACTTTTAAAAACTAATACTGCAAAGGTGGGTTGACGAGATGCCTCAGCAGGTGAAGGCACTTGACACCAAGCTTAAAGACCTGAGTTCTATCCCTGAACCCACACAGAGGAAAGAGAATGGGTTCCAGCAGCACCCCATGGTACTTGTGCATGCACACACACACATACACACACACACACACACACAAACAAAGTGAATGATAACTAAAAAAAAGCAAAAGTCATACGCAAATACTGTAAAGGTAGTTGGAGGCGTGGCTCAGTGTCACAGCGCCTGCCCAGCATTGTGTGAGATGGTGGTATCCATCCCCAGCAACACAAAGTCTCTGAAGCGCTTGCCTTACAGGAGGAAGAGCCCTGTGAGAGCAGCAGTGAGGAGGAGTCGGGGGCCCAGGGTTATCAGAGCCTGAATTCCCTGGTTGATGTCGAGGACCTGGGCAACATCATGAACCCCATGCAGAAGGAAAAGGTACTGCTGTGTGGGGGACTGTAGTTGGATCCTGTGGTCCATTCACCTCTTAGAGTCTGTCCCAGGACAGCTCTGGTTTGAAGGCGGAAGGCAGCTTAATTTACCTGTAAGAGTTTCTATTTTTTGTTGTTTTTTGTCTTGCTTTTTTGCTGTATTTACATGAACTTTGAACATTAGAAATGGCATCCATTTCATGTGTGTATGTATTTTGTGTGTTATAAGTGTGTCAGGGAGCACATGCCACAGCCAGAGGACAATTTCTGGAATGGCTTCTCTCCTTTCACCCTGTGGGTCCCTACGATCAGACTCAGTCGTCAGGCTTGGTGGCAAGCTTCTACCTGGCAATCCGTCTCACCGGCCCTTCCATGAACTTGGCTAAATTCTTCTCATTTAATACCATGCTCCCGGGAGGACCGGCAGATCTTAGAGCAGGTCCTGAGTGGAGGGCACTAGTTCAGAGCCGTGGAGGATGGCCATCTTCAAGGACTATTATTATCATAGACAGGGTCTCTCTGTGCAGCCCTGGCTCTCCTGGAGCTCTCTCTGTAGGCCAGGCTGGCCTCAAACTCAGAGATTGTCCTGCCTCTGCCTCCCGAGTGTAGGGATCAAAGGCGGCATGTACCACTGCCACCTGGCTGGGAGGATTCTTTATCATCAAGGATGCAGATGGAGTCTGACTTAGTGGTGCATGCCTGTCCTCACAGCCTCTTGAGTCCCCTCTGGTCCTGAGTCCCAGCTCTTTTTCTTCTTTTGTTGTTTTTGAAGACGGGATCTTCAGCTGAGGATGACTTTGAACTCGTGTCCAGGGTGGGGGTACAGCTGTGTTGTGCTGTCACACCTGGATTATGCAATGCTTGAGCTGGACCTTGGGCTTCCTGCACGTTAGGCACACCGCCAACTGAGCCACACCCCACCCTCTTTCTGACATTCATTCTTTTACAGTCTTCTCCCCAAATCAAGCAAACTGTGTTACAGTGAATGTAATTTTTGGCTTTTGACTAAAAATTTAACTGTGTTTATTTAAGAGTCCATCCTTAAAATGGAAAATGAAGTTGCAGATTTAGATACAATTCTGGAATTTCTACCTGGCTAAACCTTCCTTACAGCTTTGCCTAGTGACATTAGGATGACACATTTTTCTTTGCTTTTCCTCTAGTGGCCAGTAGAGGTCACTAGAGAGTGTAAAGATGAAAATTTAATGACCTTGGACCTTGAAGCAGTCAGCTTATAATATTTAGCCTTTTCATACAAATGATCAAATGGAGACTTCTGTGTGTGTTTTTCATCTTTATAAGACCTTCATTTTATGTATGTGTGTTTACATGTGTGTGTTTAACTTACTGTTAGGGGCCATCGTGTGTACTACACTGTGCCATTGAGTTACAGCCTGAATACCTCCCCTCTTTTTGTCTTATTTCGGTTTGTGTTGTTACCATTGCTTTGAGAGAGAGTCAAATGTAGCCCAGGCTGGCCTTAAACTTGGTATGTAGCCACTGATGAGAACACATAATTTCTAGTTGATAAGAACACACACGATAAGGTTTGGGTATGTTTTTCAATTCCATCTGGAAGCTCCGTTAGCAGAGGCACGTTTCTCATTAGCTTTGTGTTGTGCTTATATTTAGGCATTTGGAGTGCTGACTTTGAGGATAATTGCGGTTGCTTTTCTCAGAGTGAACAACAGAAGGCAGAGAAGTCAGACTGAGCCGTGCTCACTTACCTTCTGTGGGTTTGCTGCCTGTGGACCCCCGTCTCCCTTCCTCCCTCCTTCCCTCCCCTACACCTTCCCTCTCCCTCTGCTCCTCTTTCCTCTCTCTTTCTCCATTCTATCCTCCTTTCTCTGCCTCCTTTTTCAAGTGTGCCTGTGGTGGTGTGTGCCTCTGCCTCCCACTAGGAAATACATTCCATTTAATATTTGCACTCCACTCCCTTTTCAGGTGAAGAAGTTAAAATTCAGAAAAAGCCAGTAGTTTGCCAAAGTCAGGCAGTTTGTCTGTATTTGATTGTTAAAAACATTTGGTCTTGGGGCAGGCAAGGTGGCTCAATGGGTCGAGGTGCTTGCCATCAAGCCTGACAGCCTGCTTTTGGCCCCTGGGATGCACACAGAGGAGGGGAGCAGCCAACTCCCCAGTGCTGTTCTCTGACTGCCACAATCATGCGCTCTAAGTAAGTAGAGAAAGTATAACAACAATTAGTACTTTTTAAACAAATGAACTATTGACTTAGGTTATGGTTTTATGGTTGTTACGTTTTGTTTTGCTTAATTATTTATTTATTGACCCTGGTGGTGTCTTTTGGTCATCATCTCTCTGGAACCAAGATCACCTTGTAGGATGTTGTGTCTCAGCCTTGGTTGTGTGAACCTCCTCACTGTTGCTAGGGAGTCTTGGTTGTTGCCAATTCCCGATTTTACTTTCTCAATTCAACAGAGAGAAAGGGCTCAACAGGAGGAGAAAGCTGGTGTGAAGAGGAACCCAGAGACGAGTGTGGACAGTGAAGGAAGAGCTATGATCACGCCTGCTCTCCGAGAGGCCCTAACTAAGCAAGGTGAGCATCTGCCAGGACTGGGACGTTGCTGCTCATTGGTGCCCTCGACCTGATGCCCAGGGCAGGGAGCGCAGGATAGGGTTGTCACAGGGGACAAAGAGAAAGTCTCTTGCTGGTGAGCGTGTTATTTGGAACTTAGGGCACTGGGACCTGAGAAAAACAATAGGGGAGAAAGCATTTATGTAGCTCAGTTTCAGATGCTTAGTCTGTGTGGACCATGCTTCTGTGGCCCGTGCTCATGTGACCCGTGCTCATGTGACCCCTGCTCATGTGATCCCTGCTCATGTGACATGTACTCATGTGATCCCTGCTCATGTGAGATGTACTCATGTGATCCCTGCTCATGTGGTCTGTTTCTGGGTCTGTAGTGAGATAGAGCCTTGGGGAAGTAGGACTACATGGGAGAGACCTCAAAGCAGGAAATAGATAGTTGGAAACAGGAAACAGCTACATCTGCCCCCAGCCACTCTCCCATGGCACACTTCCTCCAAATGACCCACCTTCTGCAGTGCTACCACCTTATATATACTATTCAGCTATATACTATTCAAGGAGCATGTATCTCTTCAGAGCCCTCAGTTTCTGATGCTCTCTGGACACACCTAGATGTCAGTCAATCCAATAGAGCTGACAACCAAGATTGACCATCACCTAGGGAAGATAGAGCTGCCTACTCTAACCCACCCAGTCTCTCCCTCTCTTTCCTTGTTTGTCTCTCTTTCTCTGTGTCTTTGTCTTGTCAGACTCTCTTTCGCTCCTGTGTATTCCAGGCTGGTCTCACTATGAAATTGAGGGTGACCTTGGAGTTCTGATCTTCCCTCCTCCACCTTCCAAGTGCTGAGATTAGAGACATGTCCATGACGCCTAGTTTTCCTGGTGCTGGGGATCAAACCCAGGCCCCTGTTTTCCCTGTGTGTATGTTCGGACACCACTGAAGAGGCCAGAAGGCTTCAGATACTTTGGAGCTGGAGTTACAGATTTGGAACCCATCATGTGGGTGCTGGGAGTTGAGCATGGGTGTTCTGGGAGAGCAACCAGTGCTCTTAACCCATAGGAGTCATCTCTTCAGCCCTTACTTGAGTTTTATTATATTTCTTTAGTTCCCTTCTGTTAGTTCTTTAATTATTTATATGTCTCCTCCTTGTTCCTTGGGGACTGTGATACATGTCTTCCAACATGCAGTTTGTGTTTTACCATATAACTCATTGATGTTTCTATTTGTTAAATTCTTTGTTTCTTGTCTTACATTTCAGTTTAGTGTCTGTCATTACATTTTCAGATTAGTCGTCCCCCCCCCCCCATTTTTCAAGTAGTTATGTTCTATTGCTGTGCAGAGATAGGATGGCCAAAGCACCTTATAAAAGAAAGAGTTTGTTGGGCTTGCAGTGTCAGAGTGGAGTCACTGACTATCATGGTGGGGAGCATGACAGCAGGCAGGCAGGCATGTTGTTGGAGCAGTAGCTGAGAGCTTCCATCCTGATTCACAAGTAGGAGTCAGGGAGAGCTAACTGGGAATGTTGATGGCTTCTGAAACCTCCACGCCCACCTCCAGTGGTACACCTCCTCCAGCAAGGCCACACCTCCTCATGCTTCCCAAACAGTTCCACTCACTGGGGACCAAGCATTCATATATGAGTCTGTGAGGGCCATTCTCATTCACAGTACCACATACCACTCCCTGGCTCCCAGAGGCTTGTGGCCTTTCATAGGGCGAAGTGCAGTAAGTCTTCCCACCTTTAGAGAGTCGGGTCTCTCCACCGTCTGGGTTTCAGGGAGTGAACTCAGGCTTGGCAGCAGATGCCTTTACCTACTGAGCCATCTTGCTGGCCTAACCCAAAGGATTCTTGAGTTAGAGCACCAAGGAGATACCTATACAAGTGTGTTTACTGTAGTCCTGTAGCCAAAGGGCTACAGTGGACAGTTAGACAAGATGTGGATGGAGCCTGACTAGGGGTCAACAGATGAGTCGGGAAAGAAAGTGTCCACACACGTTTTGTTGAACCTTAAGGAAGAACTAAGTTATGTTTGTAGGAAAGTTGATGCTGGCGATCATTATAGTAAGCCGGGCTCAGAAAGACAGTGACATTTTCATCTCATATATGGACTATACATTTTTTCCAATATATGTTTTTATTTAAATTAGAAACATGCATGCTTCACATGTCAATTCCAGCTCCCTCTCCCACCCCTCCTCCCTTTTCCCTCCACTATCTCCCCCAGCCCCCCACCCAATCCTCACATCATTCCCCAGGGAGGGTGAGGCCCTCCTTGGGGGGATCTCCAGAGTCTGTCATTTCACCCAGGGCAGAACCTAGGCCCTTCCCCATGTGTCCAGGCTTGGAGAGCATCCCTCCATGTGGAATGGGCTCCCAAAGTTCATTCATATACCATGGTGAACACTAATCCTGGGGACCCAAGGCCCCAGTGATTTCTGTGACCTCCTCACTACACTACATTCATGGAGTCTGGATCAGTCTCCTGTTGGCCTCTCAGCCATCAGTCTGGGGTTCAAGAGCTCCCCCTTGTCTGGTCAGCTGTCTTTGTGGGTTTCACCAGCACGGTCTTGACCCCTTTGCTCATCACTCCTTCATCTCTGTCACTGGGTTCCAGGAGTTCAGTTCAGTGTTTAGCTGTGGGTATCTGTCTCTGCTTCCAACAGTTTCTGGATGAAGGTTCTAGGATGGCATATAAGGTAGTCATCAACCTCATCATGGGGGAGGGGGGCTATTAATGTAGTCTCTCCGCTATTGCTTAGTTTTCCAGTTGGTGTTATTCTTGTAGATCTCTGGAGATCTCACTAGTGTCAGCTCTCTCCTCAAGTCTATAATGACTCCATCTATTATGGTATCTCTCATCCTGCTCTCCTCTATTCTTACCTCGACTCAACCTTCCTGCTCCCCCATGCCTTCTTCTCCCCTCCTTGTATCCCTCTCTTTTCCTGTTTCTCTCTCCCCTCCCCCGATGTTCCCAATATGCTCAGGAGATCTTGCCTCATTCCACTTCTCTGGGGTATCATGCATATCTCTTGGGAACCTCCCTGTTTCCCAGACTCACTGGCACTGGGATTGTAGGCTGACACTCCCCTGATCCATGTCTAAAATCCATATATGAGTGCATACCATGTTTGTCTTTTTGTGACTGGGTTACCTCACTCAGGTTGTGTCATCCATTTGCCTGCAAATTTCAAGATTCCATTGTTTTTTTTTTCCGATGAGTAGTATTCCATTGTGTAAATGTACCACATTTTCTCTATCCACTCTCCAGTTGAGGGGCATCTAGGTTGCTTCCAGGATCTAGCTATTACAAATAATGCTGCTATGAACATAGTGGAACAGACATCCTTGTTGTATGAATGGGCCTAAGAGTGGAATTGCTGGGTCTTGTGGTAGACTGATTCCCATTTTCCAATCTCCATACTGATTTCCGTAGTGGCTGTACAAGTTTTCACTCCCACCAGCAGTGGAGGAGTGTTCCCCTTTCTCCACATCCTCTCCAGCATAAACTGTCATTGGTGTTTTTGATTTTTGCCATTCTGACAGGAGTAAGATGATATCTCAGAGTTGTTTTGATTTGCATTTTGATTTGCTAAGGATGTTAAGCACTTTCTTTTTTTTTTGGTTTTTCGAGACAGGGTTTCTCTGTAGCTTTGGAGGCTGTCCTGGAACTCACTTTGTAGACCAGGCTGGCTTTGAACTCACAGAGATCCGCCTGCCTCTGCCTCCCGAGTGCTGGGATTAAAGGCGTGCGCCACCAACGCCCGGCTGTTAAGCACTTTCTTAAGTGTCTCTCATCCATTTTATACTCCTATTGAGAATTCTCTACTTTTTAATTGGATTCTTTGGTGTTTGGTGACTTGCTTCCTGAATTCTTTGTATATTTTGGAGATCAGCCCTCTGTCAGATGTAGGGTTAGTGAATATCTTTTCCCAATCTGTGGGTTGCCTTTTTGTCTTGCTGACTATGTCCTTTGCCTTACAGAAGCTTCTCAGTTTCAGGAGGTCCCATTTATGAATTGTCGATTTCACTGTTTGTGCTACTGGTGTTAAGTTCAGGAAGTGGTCTCCTGTACCAATTTGTTCAAGGGTACTTCCCACTTTCTCTTCTAACAGGTTCAGTGTGGCTAGATTTATGTTGCGGTCTTTGATCCATTTGTACTTAAGTTTTGTGCATGGTGATGGACATGGATCTATCTGTAGTCTTCTATATGCCAATATAGAAGCAGCACCATTAGTTGAAGATGCTATCTTTTTTCCATTGTATAATTTTAGCTTCTTTGTCAAAAATCAGGTGTTCATAGGTTTGTGGATTAATCTCAGGGTGTTCAATTCTGCCAATACCAAGCTGTTTTCAGGACTATAGCTCTACATAGAGCTTGAAGTCAGGAATGGTGACACCTCCAGACGTTGCTTTGTTAAGCAGGGTTGTCTTGGCTATCCTGGGTTTTTTGTTTTTCCATATAAAGTTGAGTACTGTTCTTTCAAGGTCTGTGAAGAATTGTGCTGGGACTTTGATGGGGATTGCATTGAGTCTGTAGATTGCTTTTGGCAGGATTGCCATTTTTACTACATTGATCCTACCTATCCAAGAGCATGGGAGATCTTTCCATTTTCTGGTATCTCTCTTTTTTTTTTTAAAGATTTATTTATTTATTACATATACATGCCAGAGGAGGGCACCAGATTGAATTGTAGATGGTTGTGAGCCACCATGTGGTTGCTGGGAATTGAACTCAGGACCTCTGGTAGAGCAGCCAGTGCTCTTAACCTCTGAGCCATCTCTCCAGCCCCTTCTGGTGTCTTCTTTAATTTCTTTCTTTAAAGGCTCAAAGTTCTTGTGATACAGGTCTTTCACTTGTTTGGTTAGCGTTACCCCCAGGTATTTTATGTTGTTTGTGGCAAATTGTAAAGGGTGATGTTTCGCTGATTTCTTTCTCGGCCCTTTTATTGTCTGTATATAGTAGGGCTACTGATTTTCTTGAGTTGATCTTGTATCCTGCCACTTTGCTGAAGGTGTTTATCAGCTGTAAGAGTTCCCTGGTAGAGTTTTTTGGGTCACTTATATAAACTATCATATCATCTGTAAATAGTGGAAGTTTTACCTCTTCCTTTCCAGTTTGTATCCCCTTGATCTCCTTTTGTTGTCTTATTGCTCTAGCTAGAACTTCGAGTACAATATTGAAGAGGTATGGGGAGAGAGGACAGCCTTGTCTTGTTTCTGATTTTAGAAGAATTGTCTTGAGTTTCTCTCCATTCAGTTTGATGTTGGCTGTTGGTTTGCTGTATATAGCTTTTATTATGTTTAGGTATGTTCCTATTATCCCAGATGTCTCCAAGACCTTTATCATTAACTCTGAAGTAATGTCTGTTTTTGAAGCTGAGGTGTGTTTCTTGTATGCAGTAGAGGGATGGATTCTGTCTTCGAATCCATTCTGTTAGCCTGTGTCTTTTTATGAGCGAGTTTTTGAGGGATATTAATGACCATTGATAGCTCATTCTTGTTTGTTTTGGAATGGTTATTGTTGGTGGAATTGTATGTGGATTTCTACCACTTTTTCTTTTGCCTGTTGGTAAAGTGGGATTATCTATTGCCTATGTTTTCCTGGTTGTAGTTAACTTCCTTGGGTTGGAGTTTTCCTTCCAAAATTTTCTGTAGGGCTGGGTTAGTAGATATGTATTGTTTAAGTCTGGTTTTGTCATGAAATATCTTGTTTTCTCCATCTATATTGATTGAAAGCTTTACTGGGTATAGTAGTCTTGGCTGGCATCCGTGGTCTCTTAATGTTGGTAGAATATCTATCCAGGACCTTCTGGCTTTCAGAGTTTCCATGGAGAAGTCAGGTGTAATTTTGATGGGTTTGCTATGTTACTTGGCCTTTTTCCCTAGCTGCTCTTAATATTCTTTCTTTATTCTGTATGTTTGGGGTCTTGATTATTATGTGGTGAGGGTTTTTTTTTTTTTTTTTTTTTTTGTCCACTCTATTCAGTGTTCTGTAAGCTTCTTGCACCTTCATTGGCATGTCTTTCTTTAGGTTGGGAAAGTTTTCTTCTATGATTTTGTTGAATATGCTTTCTGCCTCTTTGAGGTGGGTTTCTTCACCTTCTTCTATACCTATTATTCTTAAGTTTGGTCTTTTCACGGTGTCCCATATTTCCTGGATAGTTTGTGTTAGGGATTTGTTGGACTTAAATTTTTCTTTGGTTGATGAATCTAGTTCTCCTAGTGTATCTTCAACACCTGAGATTCTCTCTTCCATCTCTTGTATTCTGTTGGTTATGCTTGCCTGACCATAGAAAATAGAAAATAGCTTTTCTATTTTCAGCATTCCTTCAGACTGTGTTTTTTTTTATTGTTTCTATTTCAGATTTCAGTCCTTGTACTGTTAGCAATTTTTTTTGTGTCTTCCATTTCTTGCATTTTTTGGATTTTTTTCTTACATCTCTTACAGGGATTTTCTCATATCCTCTTTGGGGGCCTCTATCATTTTCATGAAGTTGTTTTTAATATCATTCTCTTCTGCTTCATTTGTGTTGACGTGTTCAAGTCTTGCTGGTGTAGGGTCTCTGGACTCTGGTGATGTCTTATTGGTTTTTCTGTTGTTCCTTGTGTTTTTATATTGTCTCCTTCCCATCGGTTCTTGCAGTGGGTTCCAGAAGGTGCCTCTTCCTCTCCTGGTGGGAGTGGGACCAGGGTTCCCTTCTGTTGGGTGTAGGCAAGTCCACTGTTCTGGTTGCTCTCCACTTCCTGGTCTCGTGGGTGGAGAAATGGACTAGGATGCTGGGGTGCTTTGGATCCCCCTGGGATGGATGGGAGCCTGAGTGGTAGACCCCAGGCACAGGTAGGCGGCCCAGAGATAGGCCCTGGTTTACCTAGTCCCGTGGGTGGAGCAGGAGACTAGGGTGCGTTGGCTCCCACCACTGGGATGGAAACCGCAGTGGTAGACCCCAAGCATAGGCAGCAGGCCTAGTCCTAGTCCCGTGGGTGGAGCAGGAGACTAGGCTGCTGGGGTGATTTGGGACTCTACATTTTATATGAATATACGAAATCATTTATCTGATTGTTTGGGGACATTTCTCATTCAAACTGCCACATGAACTCTGTAGTTGTAGAGTACATTGTGTTCTTGGGCAGAGTCCTGGTTAGCTTTTACTGTAAACTTGACACAGCTTAGGGTCACTTAAGAAGGGAGTCTCAATTGAGAAGTTGCTTAAGTCAGGTTGGCCTCAGACATCAGAATGACCTTGAACTCCTGCTGTTCCTGCCTCCTGCTGGGTACTGACTACAGTCTTGCCTCACCATGGATAGATTTTTAACAATTTCTCATGGTAGCCCGGCTGGTGACTCAAAGCTTGCCATCTCAGCACTTTTGGGAGGTCGAGGAAGGAGGACTGGGACTACTCAGTAAGACCTAGTCACAACACAAACTGTAGCGACAGACAGACAAAAGCTCTCTCAGTGAATTAACCCTTTACTGTTTTCTGCAAGAGTGCTGTTGAATGTTTTACCTCAGTAAAGAAGAGTGGTTTTGCTGAGTTTTAGTGTCACCTTTTGATGTGAGACTTTGTTCATTTCTCTTTCTGTTCCCTGGTTTTCCATGTAGGGTACCAGTTGATTGGCAGCCACTCTGGTGTGAAGCTTTGCAGATGGACGAAGGTATTTATTGTCTTTACTCACTACAATTGCTGTTTTCTGCAACTTATTTCTTTTTCCATTTCCAGTTATTTGTGTGTCTGTGTGTACACACCTTACACTTTCCATCTCCATTTGTTTTGTGCATATGTATGTGCACATGGGGGTCAGTGCACATCTTACAGGAGTTGGTTTTCTCCTTCTCCCTTGCAGGCTCTGGGGACTGGACTCAGGTCATCAAGTCTGGCAGCAGGGCATTACCCTCTGAGCCATGGCACTAGCTTTGATGTGCCTTATTGGCAGTGTTGTTGAAATATGCTTTACAGGCAGTATAGCCCCCTCATTTTAGTGTATTCATAGGGTTCTTGCAGCCCTCATAACATCTGACTTTGGGATGTTCCTTTCACCTTTCCGCCAGCAGTCAGTCTCTTCTCGAATCTCCCTCCGGCTCCCACGGGCCGTGGATCTGCCTTTTCTCTCTGCATTAACTAGCTGACTAGACATGCCAGATGACTGGAATCGTACGTGTGGCACAGCCGTGCGTACCCGAGGACATTGCTTGCCACACCCTGTCTATTCATGGGGCAGTTGGCGGGCACTCGGGTTGCTTGTGTGTTCTGCATGTTATGAGTGATGTCGCTAGAGCATCATGCCGTGAACAGGGTTTGTGTGGTTTGCACACTTCAAGTGTCAGTAGTGGGTCATGGTAATTTAGAAAGTTTATCTCAATGAACTGTCTAGTTCTCAAAGTGGTTGTACTATTTTGTATTTCTACCAGCAGTGTTTTGAGGGTCCTCCCGTTCCGTCACCGCTCTCCACAGCCTCCTGAATCCTTTCACAGGGTCTGTCTGTGTAACCCAGGCTGGTCTCAAATTCATGATTCTCTTGCCTCAGCCTATTACTTTTGAGACAGAGTCACGTGTAGCCCAGCCTGGGCTTAAAGTCTCTATGTAGCTGAAGATGACTTTGAACTCCTGACTCTCTTTCTTCTCTACCTCCCAAATTCTGGGATTCCATGTGCAATACCACACCTGGTTTGTATGGTCCTGGGGCTTGAACCCAGGGCCTCATAAGCACTGGGTTAAGTGCTGAGTAAGCACTCTCTCCTCTGAGCTACATCCTGAAGATACTAACTCATTTCTTTTCCTTGTTCCTTAAGGTACAAATATTCCAAGAATTTTTCCTTTGATATTTTCTGTTATTCCAGCTACTTTTGGTGACGGCGTGCTCAGCCCTGCAGATTAGCTAATGAATCCCACATGTTGCGTTCCAAACACTTCTTTTTTTCCAGTCCAGCGATTTTCAGTGACGTCAGACTCAGTGCCTTCTGTGCGGTGTCCCTTTCACCGTCGCTAAATTTGCATTTTCAGATAGTAAATCGCATGCATACTTTTGGAAATTGGTGTTTCATCCAGGCTGTAAGGATGAGGAAGCACTTTATGTTAAGTGTGCATTTCCGTGCAGAAGTGCTGCGGTGCTTCTTCAGTGGTAGCTGGCTCGGTGAGGGGCAGCTGCTTGCTGTGTCTGGGTCTGCTCCTCTTTCTCCTCCTCTTCCTCCTGCACTTCCTTCTCTTTTCTCCCTTGCTCCTTCCCCTCCTTTCCCTTGCTCCTCCCCCTCCTTCTTATGCACAGTGCTGAACTTCAGACCAAAGGCCTTGCATGTACTCGGCCACATCCCTAGCCCGTGTGCTTAAATAGACACCTTTAAACTTGAGAAAGATTAGAAGTTACTAGAACAACTTACATTAATGAGAATTCTACTGACAGTCTTTCTTCATTTTCTTTCTGGACTATTTTGGATATAGGGTCTTACTGTGTAGCCCAGGCCTTGAACTCGATCCCCTGGGTCCTGGGATTATAGGTGCATACCACCACACCTGGCCAGGTTAGCCTTGAAGTCCAGCTGCATGGGAGCTGTCTGCCTGAGCTGCCCCATGACTCTGAGCTGACAGTGTCTTTCCCAGGAGTGTGGATTTGTGCTGGAGTCTCACACTTTTCCTGTGTGTCAGTAGCTTGTTCTTCTCCTAGCTTTGCTGCTCTACTCTCCAATTAGCAGTTATGCAGCTTTGTCCCTTCAGTTGCTTAGGACAACAACTGGCAGCCACCACCCTCTCTTTTTATCATTCCCATATCTGTTATGAACAAGTATTCCCAAGGCCTGGCAGGATGGCTCAGTGTGTAAGGACACTTGCCACCAAGTCTGACTGGTTGAGTCAATAACCATGGCCCATGTGGAAGGAGAGAACCAGGTTCTCCAATGTACACAAGACTATGATGATAGTTTTCCAATGAAACATTGTGTCATTTAACCAGCAGATAAGTAAGTTCAGGGGCCTGTGAGTGTGGCTCAGTTAGTAGAGTTCTTGCCTAGCATGAAGGAAGTGTTGGGTTCCTCCATCTTCAGCCCTGGGTAAACTGGTGTGGTGATGTACCCTTGTAATCCCAGTATCCTCAGAAGGTGATGGTTTAAGATCATGCTTGGCTACCTAGGGAGTGTGAAACCAACCTGTTATACATGAGACCTTTTCTCAAACAAACAAAGCTCCTATGATGACTTCCTGGAGGATAGGGTTAGCAAGGAGTGATGTGAAACCCAGCCAGCAGCAGCTGTCACAAGCCTGAGTGAAGTCTTAGATGAGTGATCACAGCTTAATTCTCCTCTGAACACAGCTGTGTGAAAGAGTGAGCAACCCCAGTCTGTAATTCAGGCATCGGTGTCATACTGAGTCAGAGATTGAGGCCATGTGCTAGGAGGCAGATCCCTGACCTAGGTGGCACTAATTAGTTGTGGTACAGGGTCACGTGGAGAATGTGAGTTATCTGTGGGGTGGGAAAGTCAGTCACAATGACAGACGACAGAGCTGGGACTAGTAAGAGCCCTGAGCCAAAGCAGCACTCGGGCTGTAGAGAGAGATGGAGATGAGCTTGCTGAGAGAAACAAGTGATAGCCCATCGTCTTCTGAAGTTTCAAGTCAAGGCTTGTTAGCCTGAAAGATTAGGAGCCTGGCTTGATCTCACAATATGCCAGTAAGGGCTTGGGCATCATCTTCTGGGTAAGTCTGGGGCTCTTTAGCCAGAGAAGCATGGCTTTGAGGTATGCTGGGGAGGGAGGTAGGTGGTCAGAGGAGGGCAGCTGTCTGGGTTGGGGTGCCAGAACTAGAGAGTACCACAGAAACAGGAAGTCTCATGCCCTCCACCTGAAAGGAGATGGTGACTGAGGCCAGCCCTTGCTGCCTCAGCCTCACAGTTGAGTCTCGTTAGACTCAACTCTCTCCTCAACTCTCTTTGCTTGAAGGCCAGTTGTTCTACTGAGTTAGGCTGCCCAGTTCTCTTGACAAAGGGCACTGGGATTCCCACTAAAAACAAATTGGACATGTACTCTTCTGTCTAGCTGGGTCTGAGGTTCCCATACTGTCTAGAGATACCAGTCAACCAAGTGGAGGTGAGAAGAGACCATCCCCGTCCCCCATGGTACCATGGTAACTAGGTGGCTCTTGGAAGGTGATGCCACCGTAGTGTCCAGTCAGGACAGACCCTTTCTGCTTGGGAGGCTGAGTCTCCTTTCTGCAGTGTTTACAAAGGAGGCCTTGCCACAGAAGAGCCCAGGCTGAGAGGCCTGAAACTCCTGTCTTCCAGTGAACCAATGGGGGTGGGGGTGGGGGAGGACAATGGACCCTGCTCCCTTAGCAGCAGCAGCAGGGGCCAGCAGGGACTAGGAGGGGCCAGCAGGAACCAGGGGTCATTTAAGATCAAGGCTAGAAAAGTCCAGTTGCCATGGAACACACAGCATAGTGCCTGTCTGAGTTTAGCAAAGTGACTGCTAAAATGAGAGGGAGAGGAGGGGCCTAGGGCAGTGGTTCTCAGCCTTCCTAATGCTGTGACCCTTTCATGCAGTTCCTTATGTTATGGTGACCCCCAACCATAAAAGTATTCCATTGCTACTTCATAACTGTAATTTTGCTGCTGCTGTGAATGGTGATGTGAAATCTGATATGCAGGGTATCTGATAGGCTAGCTCTATGAAAGGATCATTTGACCCCCAAGGGGTTGAGACCCACAGGCTGAGAACCACTGGTTTAGCATCTCCTCACTGACAGAATGCCCAGGATGCTACAGAAAATCACCTGTCACAGCAAGGACTGAGAAAGTCATAATTGGGTAACAAAAGATAATCAACTGCTGTCAACAGCAGCTGAGTCAACGGATGGGACGGGCAGAAGTAGCTACAGCAATCAGCTATCAGTGATCTTCAAACAGATGAAAGAATAAAATAGCCCAGCAAAGAGCCAGGCTAAAAACAACCAAGAAGGCTTAATACAACAGAAAAATGGATAAAACAACTTCTTGAGGGCTCAGCAGTCAAGTGGGGGTGGCAGGCTGTGTACTCTGACCTCAGCAGATCGATGGGACAGTTTGCACCCAGGACCAGTCGATAGGATTTACTCAGTCTGGACCACAGAGATCAAAGTAGATTAGACACAATGCAAACAACACGGGAAGTGGAGCCTTGGGGATTTGTGGATTAATGAGATACTCGGTCAATGTCTGTGCCATTGGAGGATCAGGATGAAAATGAGAAGGAGTGGAACTGGAGGAGCCTGGTCACGTATGCTGACAGTGGGGACACACTGGGAAAAGCACAAGTGTAACCACAGGTGCATCCTTTTCTAGTCCTGCTTATAGCCCCGCCTTGCCCCACTGGCATCAACCTCTATGAAAACACAAACTCTTACACCTGGGGTTTTTCCACTGTGCTGTAAGTCTGTATATAAGGCTGCTCCCTCCTTGCAAAAGACATGTACACAGGCATTCTCTTAGCACAAACGACTGGACGTCTTGTCTTTCATTTAAATATTCAGGTTTTGCCCGATACATTAGACAACCTTGTGGCGCCACACACAAACAAAAGTACTACACTTGGTTGATGGGGATTTTCTTCTGTATGCTACAAATATATGTTTGTCTTATTGGTTGATGAATAAAGCTTTTTCAGCCAATGGACAAGCAGGATTTAGCCAGATGGGAAATCCAAACAGGGATAGAGAAAGGTAGTAGGTGGGTCAGGGAGACGCCATGTAGCTGCCAAGGAAGCAAGAGGTCCAGGCGTCACCTGTAAGCCAAGACCAGGTAGAGACACACATATTAATAGAATTGGGTTAATAATCAAGAGAGAGCTAGCCAATAGGAAGCCTGAGCAATAGGCCAAACAGTTTATGATTAGTATAAGCCTCTGTGTGTTTATTTCGGACTACACTGCTGTGGGACTGGCTAGGACGGAAGCTCCGTCTACACTTGATATATGTGTGTGGGTGAGCGTGCCACACACCTGTGAAGGTCACCTTCCTCCATGTGGGTCGTAGGGGACAAACTGAGGTTATCTAGTGCTTTCACCCACTGAGCCATCCCTACAGTGTCCTCTTAAAAATGATGCCTTTGGGTTGACAAGATGACCCAGCGGGTGAAGGTCTTGCCTGGTGACCCGAGTTCAATCCCTGGGACCCACATAAAGGAGTAAGAAAGACTCAGTTCCATGAAGTTGCCTTTGGACCTTTGCATGTTGTGGTATGTCTGAGCCCGCACTCACACATCTCACACACACGGTAATAACAAATAAAGCTAAAGCATGCAAACCAAGAAACTACACCTAGCTGTTGAGTTTCTGTTGTTTTATTCAAATGACGGCATGTTTCCTGCTTGTCACAGTCAATGCTGCGGGGGAGAGGAGGTTGCTACAAACACACATTCTACGGCATCGATAGCCATCGCTGCATGGAAGCCACCCCAAGCTTGGCATGTGCGAATAAATGCGTCTTCTGTTGGCGGTAAGTGGAGAGGCAGTGTGGTGACCAGATGCTGAGCACTGCCCTGGGCGTGTCAGACTCCACAGTAGGGCTCTGCTCTGTAGCAGTCTCCAGTAGATTTTTTTTTCCTTGAGACAGGATTTCTCTGTGGCTTTGGAGGCTGTCCTGGAACCCACTGTAGACCAGGCTGGGCTTGAACTCACAGAGATTCACCTGCCTCTGCCTTTCAAGTGCTGGGATTAAAGGTGTGTGTCACCACTGCCTGGCTTTCCAGTAGATTCTTAAGAAGCATGTCAATGTCATTCTATCATGAGTGTGTTAACTGAATTAGTACTTAAAAATTATAACTAGGGGACTGGAGGATGGCTCAGTGCTTAAGAGCATTTTCTGCTCTTAGAGAGGGCCTAGTTTAGCTCCCAGCTATCAGCTAGGGCAGTTCTCATTTCCTGGAACCCCAGCTCTAGGGAGAGAGATACAATGCTCTCTTCTGGCCTTCTGGGACCATCTGCACATTCACGTGACCACACACAGATAACACACAGGAAAAAAAAATCTTAACTGGAAGAAATGAGGCCCATATGCTTTGCCTGTTCTAAGGAACAGTGAAAGAAAAAGAAATTGCCAAAGAATAAGAAGTGCTTTGGGTGTGGCTCCGTTGGTGGAGTGTTTGCCTCTCATGCCTGAGGCCCTGGATTCTGTTCTTAGCATTGCATAAACCCCATATTGTGATCCACACCATAATTCCAGCACTGGGAATATGGGGCCTGGAGGATCAGAAGCTCAAGGCTATCCTCAGCTCCATAGGGCATTTGAGGCCATCCTGGGCTGCATGGGAGTCCTGTCTCAAAACAAACGACTGGAGTATGGAAAGAGAAGGTGCACTCACTCAGGAGTGTTTGGTGTAACTTGTTTCTAAACCATGAGAGCTTCTGCTCTCCTCCTGTGGTTTAGAAATGGGAATATGCTGGCCACACAGGTCACCTCACGCTGGTGTCTGTGTTCAGGTAGCACGACTGAAAGCAGGGGAGAGGGGCTGGAGCTGGCTCAGCACTTAGAAGCATTTATTCCTTTTGCAGAGGACCAGAGTTTGGTTTTCTGCACCCGTGTTGGGCCATTCCCAGCCACCTGTAACTGCAGCTCCAGGGGATCTGATGCTCTCTTCCAGTCTCCTTGGGCACCTCAACATAGGTGCACATATACCCACAGACATTCCTGTGAATAAGTAATCAGAAACAGGCTAGTGTGTTTGGTCTATCTATACCTGCAGTTGACTCTGAGCCAAGCGCTGAGCAAGTTGCCCAGGGTCCTCTCTTCACTCATCTCTGCCATGTGCCACGACTCAAAGTAGGGTGAATCCTTTCACCGGTGGAGCTCTTATCGGCACCCAACTCTGGCTTTCTTTTGGATGGGCTGGTCACAGCAGCCTCGCTGTAATGTCACAAAAAGATACCTTAGGACTCTGCACTGTGTTTGCAGGCACCACACCAATCCGGTGGGCACTGAATGGCGGTGGAAGATGGACCAGCCAGAACTGATCTTGAAGGAAGCCATCGAAAATCATCAGAACATGATTAAGCAGTTTAAAGGTATTTTATTTTATTTTTCTTTTTATGAGACAGGGTGTTATTCATCTCAGGCTGGCCCTTGAACCTGCTATGTGGTAGAGGATAACTTTTGGGCTTCTGATCCTCCTGCCTCTGTCTTCAGAGTGCTGGGATCACAGGAGTATATCACCACACCTGTTTTTTTTTGTTTTTTGTTTTTTTTGTTTTTCGAGACAGGGTTTCTCTGTATTGTTTTGGAGGCTGTCCTGGAACTCACTCTGTAGACCAGGCTGGCCTCGAACTCACAGAGATCTGCCTGCCTCTGCCTCCCAAGTGCTGGGATTAAAGGCGTGCGCCACCACTGCCTGGTATACCACACCTGTTTTTATCCTATGCTGAGGATGGAAGCCCAGGTCTCATACATGCTAGGTAAGTATTCCACCAGCTGAGCCACATCCTCTCTGAAAAGGAATGGTAATACCTGTCAACACAGCCTGGACCAAAATGACAGAAGAGTGGCCTCTTTTCCTCTTTCAGTGGGACTTTTGTCTCTCACTGCGGGGCAGAGTGTATGTGTGTGTGTTTGTGTTTGTATTTGTGTGTGTCTGTGTGTGTGGTCTCTGCAAACACAAGAGGATCAGTGAGAGATAGTGTTGTTTTAGACTTTGAGAATCTGACCCTGAGTAGTTTATTTTAAGCATATTTAAGCCTGTAATTTGGAAAGAAGTGTCCTAGTGATAATGAATTCAATCCATTGTGCACAGCAAAGCTTGAGACATGACTGTATGGAGAATCTGAGTAATGTATAGGTGGTATCTTCCATGAAGATGGGTTCCATGGATTAACTGAGGGAACAGTTTCAAGATAAACTCATGACAGGGTCTGGGGGAGGACTTGGTGTGACCTGGCCACAACACCAAGAGTCACTAGGCTATTAATCACTTCTGTTCCCAGCCTTTGGGGTAGAAACCATTTGTATATCTCTCCCTTTGAAGGTACGCCCCTGCCCTCCCTCTGAGTGTTTAACATTGCTGTTTCCCTAGTGCTTGTCTGAGAACACAAGAACCTCCGTGTCCCCTAGGCTATTGTAAATCTTCCTTTGTGGAAGCAAAACCATGATAGAAGTATTCTATATATATTTTGGCCCTTGTAGCTTTGTATTTCCATTAGATTGAAGAGTTAGAAAACTCCAGCCATGGCTTAGTCCCTTGTGAGGTGCACTGTGCCCTCTTTTGGCCTCTGCAGGCAGTAACTACACTCATGTACACATACATCTCCCCCAGACACACACCCGTACTCGTAATTAAAAGGAAGGTAGATGTGGTAGTGCATCCCTTTAATCCTAGCACTTGGAGGTAGAGGCAGATAGGATCTCTGAATTTAAAGGCCAGGCTGGTTTATATAGGGAGTTCTAGGCCATGTTATGTAGTGGATCCTTGCCTGAGGGGGGGGGATAGTAATAACATTAAAAAAAAACCAACGATATGGTCAGTGAGTTGCAGTTGGCTGGCAAAGGGTTTCTGAATGAATGCCCTATAAGAAGTGGGGTGCTCTTAACAAAACGTCTTTCATAGTGCTGCCCACAGAGACGCAGCAGAAACTCTGCCCTTCATTTTCTAGCTATTTGGCTTCACTGCAGAGCTCTGGCTGCAGACTCTACTGTGAGTCAGTACCATCTGGGGCTGCTCAAACACCGACCGCTGCCCCTTCCCAGAGAAGAAGTCTAGCAAAAGAGTAGAGCCTGTGAATGCGCAATTCTTTCTCTTCTTGTTCCGCTTGCTTCCTTCCGTTTCGAGAAGAGGGTCTTGCTGTGTCGCTCAGGTTGGAACTGATCCTGGTGCTTCAGCTTCCTGAGTGCTGGGATGACAGTGTGGGCCACCCTGGCCAGCAAATGTGTGTTTCTCACAGGGCTCCAGGAATCAGTGCTGTTGGACTTGAGTGCAGGATTAGAGCCTGCTGTAGACAGATGGGTGGTCTTGTAGCACCATGGTTTTGTGGGGTGGCCCTAATGTGCACATTGGTAAGTTGTATTGTTTGAGTTCACTAAGAAGCTGACTCTAGAAGCAGGGCTGTAAGTCCCTCCTCCTGATGTTTCAGACCCAGATGCTTGTGTCGAAGTGCTCTCCAAGGCCCTTTGTCTGTGCATGGGCAGGCCCCCGTCCATCCCCACACAGTTCTGTGATGGGGAGGGAAAGGAACAGCAGAACAGCCCAAGAGTGAAACTGCGTCCTTGGGGACAGCTGGAAGGTGACCCATTTCCATCCAAAGTCACTAGTGTTCACCCCGTGGCATGAAAGTGCATGCAGTGTGTGAGAGAAGCTGGACTCTGAGCCATGGCGAGACAGCTCAATCTGAAATCCAGCTGGCTGCTTTTACTTCCCTAGCCAGTCTCTGCGGGACACTGTTAGCCCCTATCCCTTCATCCATCCGCATCTTGCTATGTATGCTTTCACTATGGCTTGCTAGCTACCTAACACATTCATTTAGAGCTGAAAGTTACAGCCATTAGCATAGATCGCCCTCTGAACTGTACAGAACAGTGAATGACAGCTGTCAGTGATGAATTGACATTTGTTAAATCTGTGTGGTCTTCACTCCTCCAGCACCAAAGACTGCTGTGTCTTTTCATAGGTAGCAATAAGAAAAACCAATAAAAACTTTTGTTATATGACTATATTTATAGGCTGGCTGTGTGGTATGTGCCTTTGACCCCAGAATTTGGGAGGCAGAGGCAGGTAAAGCTCTGTGAGTTCGAGGCCAGCCTGGTCTACATCATGACTTTCAAGCCAGCCAGGGCTATTAGTAAGATCCTGTTTCAAATAGACAAGACATAAATCTTTATAAACCCTAGTCACTGTTTTTCTGAAAATCAGGGGATTTGTTTCTCTTTTATGCCTTCTCAGGTGACTTTTTTTTCCCCAGACAGGGTTTCTATGTGGCTATGGAGGCTGCCCTGGAACTAGCTCTTGTTAGACCAGGCTGGACTCTAACTCACAGAGATCTACCTGTCTCTGCCTCCTGAGTGCCCAGCTCAGGTGACTCTTTTATTCAGTGAATTTTAAAAAATGGTTTATTTTTATTTTATGTGTTTGGGTGTTTGTTTGTTTTTGCATGTATGTCTGTTTACAATGTGCATGCAGTACTCACAGAGGCCAGAGGGTGTCAGAGGACCTGGAATTGCAATTACACACTCTTACTAGCTGCTGTCAGGGTGCTGGGAGCCAAACCCAGATTCTGGAAGAGCAGTAAGTGTTTCTAACTGCTGAGCCATCTCTCAGTCCTACAATTAATTTTAAAATTTTTTATGTTTGTGGTTGTGTGTCTGTTTGTATGTAGCTATATGAGTATATGGGTCTGTACTTGTGTGCTTGTGTCTTGGTGTATGTGTGGAAACCAGAGGATAGCTTCATGAAGATAGTTCTCCTACCTTTACATGGGCCGTGGGGTTTAAATGCAGGTTGCCAGGCTTGTTACCTGCTGAACCATCTTGCTGGCCCTAGTTGTCATTGTGAGACAAGGTCTTATGCAGCTCTGGCTGTCTGGAACTCACTGTGTAGACCAGACTGTCCTTAAACTCAGAGATCTGCTTGCCTCTGCCTTCTGAGTGTTGAGACTAAAGTTTGCACCAGCTTGCTTTAGTTATGTATTCGATAAGTCCTCACTCTGTAGGCCAGGTTGCTGTTGAACTCCATCCTCCTGCCTCAGCTCCCCACCACATGCTGGGATTCCAGACATGTACTGCCATACCCAGATTCACAGCTTGCTCTTAAACTCTAGGTCTCGATCTGAGCCTGAGGAGGGGCTTCTGCGCTCTGTCCTCCCTGGGTGTGAGTTGTCCCTGGACTGACCTGAAGGAAGCTTATTTCCTGTGGTGTAGCCATTGCACACACCTCTCAGGCATCGCTGCCTCTCTCCCCGTCCCACAGCACCCATGGCTTCAGAAACCACACCAAAAGGATATGCGTGTTTCTCACCTCCTTGTTAGAACTCAGTGCACTTTCCTAGGGTCAACGATATGAGAAGTTGATTGGGAGACGTCAGAATAGATTTATTGACTGGATGTGTGTCTGCACTGTCGTCTCCCAGCAGGGGGCTGAGGCAGAAGGATGGAGAGTTTGAGACTTGCCTCGTAAAACTGAAAAAAGTAGGTGGGTGGGAGGGGCAGAGACAGAAAAGGAAAGAGAGGGAGTGTATTAGTGTCATTTAGGCACATGCAGGGTGATGTGGCATTCGTATGTTGTAACCAGAAATTCTTAGAAACAGTTTTTCTTCTTCGTTGTCCCCTTCTTCCTCCTCTTCTCCACCCCCTCCCCCCCATGCATGTCCATTCTTGAAGCCTCCCTTTTCCTCTCAGCTACCCTGGGCACCTCCACCCCAGCCTGCCTTTGGAGCTATACTCTCAGATCAGTGCCTGTCAGCCTGGGGGTGTGGCTCAGGCAGGAGAGGGCTTGCCTGGCATGTACATAGAGCCCTGGACTCTAGTCCTAGACCACATAAACCAGGTGTGGTGGTGTACACTTGTAATCCCAGCACTTGGGAATCGGAGTCAGTAGGATCAGGAGTTCAAAGTCATCCTTGGGTATGTAGTAAATTAAAGGCTAGCTTGGCATACATGTGGCTCTGTCTCAAAAACAAACAAACAAACAAAAAACATAACCCCAACAACAACGAAAAGAATGTCCTTTATCCTGACTTTAGGTCCTTTGTTTTCTAGAGTGCTTCCCCACCCTGCCAGGAGGGGCTGGCTCACTCATGTCATGATTTTGCCTTGAGGACAGGATGGGATCATGGATCTTGTTGCCCATTGTCTCTGATTTTCTAACATTAGCACAATGACCATCGTAGAGTCAATTTTTGAAGATAGTCTCTGTTTTTTTTTCTCTCTCCAAATCCTTTCCTTCTGTGCTCCCGGTTTGGTGGACCGTCATTGTCTCTTCAGCTCTGTCCCCCAGTCATTTAGATAGCTTTCTTCTCGTGCCCTTTGTTAGCATCTTTATGTACAAGCACAATTAAGTGACCATTGATCAAAAGTGGGTCAGGACTTGAGTGCAGCTTGGCATCTTCTCTCACCATAGGAGCACATTCTCAGAGTAAGAGCCCGGGGGCTCCACGTGGGGGGCTGCACTGTTAAGGATATCCTGGGTCACAGAGACAAAGATGAAATAGGCATTTGTTGCTAGTGTTCCTGTTTGTCCTTAGAATAAACGCACAAAGGGCTTGCCGGAGGCCACATGGGAAAGTGGCGCGGAGGCGCAGAGGGCGTGTGCAGCTTGCCCTCATTCTCTGTGCTTTATGTGGATGGTGTTTTGCTTGCGTGCATGCATGTCTGTGTACCATGTGCGTGCCTGGTGCCCACCAAGGCCTGGAGACAGCATCTGATCATCCGGCACTGGAGTTGCTGAGGGTTTTGAGCTGCCGTTTGTGTCCTCAGTCCAAGTTGGAGTTCATTGGAGGAACAGCAGCAAGTACTCTTAATGTCTGCGCCCTCTCTTCAGTCCGTTTTCTGCAAGTGATGTATGAAAGGTGTGGAGAGTGACAGAACACCTGACATTGTAGGAGCTGAGGAGATACGCTTGTTGACAAGCCTGGTGCCCTGAGTTCAGTCCCCACGATCCACAAAAGAAATCTGGGCATGGTGGTGTGTGCACGTAATCCCAATGCTGGGGAGACAGAGGCAGGTGGATCTCTGGGGCTCCCTGCCTGCCAACCCCACTTCGTTGGGGATCTACAGGCTGTGAGAGACTCATTTCAACAAGATGGCTGGTGCCTGAGGGACGAGGACGTTGTCATCTGGTCTTTACACTGAACATACATGTGCACCAGTGCAAGCACATACACACACATGACATTGTGAAGTCTCCACCAATCATTTGTCATGGCTGCCACTCTCAGCAAGATGCTTACCCAGGACCTATATCATTATGAGAATAAAGAAGAGAATGTTGCATTTCTGATTAGCCCCGACTTCACTTGAACCAGGTGTGGCAAGGTACTTACCTGGTACTCAGGAGACTGAGGCAGGAGGCTAGCAGGTTCCAGAACACCTTGGGCTGCATAATTTGAAGCCAGCTTGGATTTCACAGTAAGAACCTGTCCCAAGCCACAAAAACGGAAACAAGAATATTGTGTTTGGAGCAGTGTATCATTGCGTCATACGTGTATTCCTTTGGTTTACTGTTTTAATGTCAGGCTGAAGCCTGAAGCCCCACTTCTGTTCACACCTTAGTTGATGGCTGTCCTTGTGATGATTCAGGATGAGGAAGCTGCCCAGGATGAGGGAAACGGTGTAGAAGTTGCTTAGCAACAACAAAACCAGAAAAACTCAAAAGGGTTAAGATTTTGTAAATTGGATTGTGTGTATGTGTGTGTGCTCATGTATTTGTGTTGTGTGTATGCTTGCCTTGTTCTTGTATATATTTCTCTGTGTTCTCTCCTCTCTCTCTCTCTCTCTCTCTCTCTCTCTCTCTCTCTCTCTCTCTCTCTCTCTCTCTGTCTCTCTCTGTGTGTGTGTGTGTGTGTGTGTGTGTGTGTGTTGCCTCAAAGTCTCATGTAGCCCAGACTGTTGTCCCACTCACCATGTAGCTGAGGATATCCTTGAACTTGTGGTCCTTTGACCTCCTCCTCCCAAATGCTAGGGTTATAGGTGTGCACCCCAGAGCCTGATAGACAAACCCTTGGCCAAATGAGCCAAGCCCCCAGCCCCTAATTTAATTCTTGTTGTGTTCTCCCTCTCTATTCACCATGTTAAATATTAGGGGAAGAGAAGGCCGGAGTCTTACCCAAGGGTGCCAGACTGGCCCCAGTAGAGTTAGAATTGAGCCCCACAAGGTCTAGCCAGCACTCCCTCGTCCCTCATTCAGAGGTGGAGGCTGATCCACTCTTCTCTTCTGCTGCTCACGGGGAGTTTAAAGTTAACCAGCACTGTTAGACTCAGTGCTGGGTTGTCTTGGCAACACAGACTGAGTTTAAGGATCAAGTTTTATTTAAAACTTGGATTTATTTGAGTTAAATCTTAGATTTTGATAACACAAGAAAAAACTCACTTAGAAATACTGATGGGAAGTGCTCATGCAGAATGCCAGGCATACAAAGATGTCATCTATCAGCTTTAGATTTTTGACTCGTGTTATGGTCATTAGATTGGGGGCAGAGTAGGAGGGGCAGACACAACACACGCTGACTTGCATGCTTATATTTCCAAGTGCATTTTTTATTTTTAAATATTTTTTAAAAATTGGTTTATTTTTTAAATTCCAATTCCAGCTCCCCCTCCCTCCTCTTCTCCTGCTCCCCCTACATCTCCCCCCACCTCCCATCTGCTCCATGGAGAGGGTAAGGCCTCCCCTGGAAGTCTACTAAGTCTGTCCCATCATCTCATTGAGGCAGGACCAAGGCACCCCCACCATCCCCATGTGTAGGTTGTTTCCAAGTTCTGGCTTTTACAAAGTAATGTTGCTATGAACATAGTGGTATGAATATGCCTCCTTTTGGTATATGACCAAAAGTGGTATTGTATGGTCTTGAGGTAGATTGATCCCTAATATTCTGAGAAATCATCATACTGATTTCCACAGAGGCTGTATAAGTTTGCACTCCCACCAGCAATAGAGGAGTGTTTCCCTTTCTCCATATCCTCTCCAGCATAAGCTTCATTGGTGTTTTTTGATCTTAGCCATTCTGATCTGTGATAGATGGAATCTCAGAGTGGCTTTGATTTGCATTTCCCTGATGGTTAAGAATGTTAAACATTTCCTTAAGTGTCTTTCCACCATTTGAGATTGTTCTGTTGAGAATTCTCTGTTTAGATCTGTACCCCATTTTTTAATTGGATTATTTGGTAGTTTGATGTCTAATTTCTTCAATTCTTTGTATATTTTGGAGATCAGCCCTCTGTCAGATGTGGGGTTGGTGAAGATCTTTCCCCATTCTTTAGGGACCATTTTGTCTTGTTGACTGTGTTCTTTGCCTTACAGAAGCTTCTCAGTTTCAGGCGGTTCCATTTATTAATTGTTGCTCTCAGAGTGCTACTGGTGTTCTATTTAGGAAGTGTCCTGTGCCTTTGTGTTCAAATGCATTTCCCACTTTCTCTTCTATGAGGCTCAGTGTGGATGGATTTATATTGAGGTCTTTGATCCACTTGGACTTGAGTTTTATACATGGCAATAGATATGGATCTGTTTGCATTCTTCTACATGTTGACTGCTGAGAAAGGAGTATTACTGAGAGTTCCAGATCAGCCTGGGCCACAGAGTGAGCTCCTGTTTAAAAAAAATAGAAGAGGATTTTCCCTGTAAAGTCAAAGCATCGTGGTGGATGTGGACGTGGTGCTCTCTGTGTCTAAGCCTTGCTCTGACTTTGTTTTTTCCTGCACTCTCAGGCGTGCCAGGGCTCAAGGCAGAGCGGTTTGAAGAGGGGATGGAGGTCAAGCACTGTGCATTGTCACTTGTGGGGGAGCCCATAATGTACCCAGAGATCAACCGACTTTTGAAGCTGCTCCACCAGCATGGGATCTCCAGTTTCCTTGTCACCAACGCACAGTTCCCTGAGGAAATCAGGTGAGCTGTCTGGCGTCTGAAGCATGGGTGTGGCTCTGTGCTCCTGTCCCATGGAGATTCCTCCAGTGACCTGAGGATGCAGGTGGCCCATTGGTCCAGATACTACACAGTTGTGGGTTTCCACCTACGTGAGTGCATGGCAGACCTCATGAGGAAAGCCTGTCTAACTGTGCTACACCATGGCTGCAGGACTAAAGCTAGGTTTCATTTCTTCTGTTCTCCATTGAAACCTAGTGTTCAAAGATGAGCCAGCTTCAAATAGTTAATTAATGTTATGTTTCAGCTTATTAGGCTCCATGTCCAGGCATTTAAGAAACAATTAGAGACTTCCCGTGGTGTCACATCATAAAATCATTGTGGACTGGACTCAGTGGTAGAGTGCTTGTCTATCTGTATGTGGCTTTGGACACTTGGCAAAGTGGACACTTCTAGACCAGTACAAGGTTGAGTTATCTCTTACAGACTGTAGATTTTATATTATGAAATTCCTGATGTAGGCATTATTTTTCTTTTGTTTCCTTTTTAATTATCAAGGAACCTCACACCAGTTACTCAGCTGTATGTGAGTGTGGATGCTAGCACCAAAGACAGTCTGAAGAAGATTGACCGCCCGCTCTTCAAAGATTTCTGGCAGCGCTTCCTAGATAGTTTGAAAGCCTTAGCTGCAAAGGTAAGAATTGTGACGTCATCCTAAAAGTAAGTAAATAAGGAGGGGAAATGAACAGAGCTGTGTTTACTTCGTTTTTCTTCAAAATACAGAAAGATTAAAATGCTGACTTTTTAAAGAATTTTCCTTTAAATTATTTTTTAAAAAGATTTATGTGTGTGAGTGTTTTGCTTGCATGTGTACTATGTGCATGCCTTGTACATCAGGAGGCCAGAAGAGGGCATTAGATCTCCTGGCCACGTGGGTGATAGGGACTAAATCCAGGTCTTCTGCAAGAGCAACTAGTGCTCCGAACCATGGAGCCATCTATCAGAGGCCAGAAGAGGGCATCAGGTAACAGGCAAATGTAGACTTCCCCATATGGATGCTGGAAGGCTAACGTGGGTCTTGTGTTAACTGCTGAGCCTCTCCAATCCCACATCTTCAGTTTTTAGGAATTTATTATTATTATTATTATTATTGGGTGGGTGGGGAGGGTATGATATGTGTGTATGGACACATACATAGCATGAAGACAGCATTTGGGAGTTGGTTCTCTCCTTCTGCTACATTGAGGAAGGATTTCTTATTGATTCCAGTATTGAGTCGTCCAGCGTAGCTCACCCTCAACCTTTCGTGTTGTTGTAGGAGTGCTGGGATTATAGACGTCCACCATTGCATTCAACATGCTCATAGGGGTTCTGGGAGTGAATTCATTGTGTCATTTGTGTCAAGTGATTTTACCCATTGAACCATCTTATCAGCTTTCTGACTTACTAACTTTCTGACTCAAAAATCTGAATTTTTGAGGAGCAAGGAACATTTCTCATGTGACTACTCCTACCAGGTTTCTCTTTAGTGTGTCGGCTCTAAATCCATTTGGTGTCATCTTCTTGTCATGCATTTAAAAGAATAACATCTTCTCAAGATTCATAATGCAGTATGTTGGGTAGCAGCATTCAGCATGCCTATGTGGGATGTCACGTACAAAATTGATTTCCAGAAATTTTGGAATCAAATACGTGAGCTCATGAGTAACTGAGTATCAGTGTGAGCTCCTAAGTACCTGAGCGTCAGTGTGAACTTATGAGTAACTGTCAGTGTGAAGTCCTAAGTAACTGAGTGTCGGTGTGAGCCCATGAGTAACTGAGGTCAGTGTGAACTCTGAGTGTCAGTGTGAAGTCCTAAGTAACTGAGGTCAGTGTGAGCTCATGTTTTAACATTTTGGAAATAGTTGACTCTTGTGTGTACTCTTTTTTTCCCTGCTTATTGTACTGGAAATTGAAGCTGAGACCACACATATGCTAGGGTAGTCCTTTATCACTGAATTTTATGCCCCAGATTTTTATCTTTCTGTGAATTCAAGGCAAGCCAGTGAGACCCTGTCCCCCTCAACAAAACAAAAAAACAAAACCCCCAAACCTAAAAGCAAACATTAGCTTGGAAAACTCCAGATGTAGGGATGGCTTGATGTCCTGGAGTTATGCCACTCACTTGTTACGGGGGTGCTTGTCATAGGAGTGGGGTGTTCTGTACTAGTTAATATTTGTGTTTATGTGTGTTCAGGTATATGTGTGTGTATGCAGGTCAGAGGTCAACCTCAGATGTTGTCCTCAGGTTATTTTGGGACAGTCTCTTCCTGCCCTGAGACCCTAAAGTAATCTGAGAGTTTCTGTAACACTGTGGTTGCTGGCACAGATCACCACGTCCAGCTCTTCTGTGGGTTCTGGGGACCAACCTCAGGTCTTCCTGCTTGTACAGAAAGCATTTTACAGACTGTTGCCATCTTTCCAACCCTGTGCCTACTATTTAAACAAACCAGTGTTTGCATATGGCTCACAATTCACACGTAGAATGAACATTTAGTAGTTGGCCTTCTCATCTCTGTGCAAGTGTTACAAGCTGAATGGTGAAATCAGGGCCTGTTAAAGAGAACCACGAGGAAGTGAGTAAAGAAATGTAATTTTCCTTTTCTTTTTTCTTATCTGAGACAGGGTCTCTCTGTGTAGCTCTGGCTATCCTGGAACTTGCTCTATAGACCAGGCTGACATCCAACTTGGAGACCTGCCTCTGCCTCCCGGGTGCTGGGATTAAAGGTGTGTGCCACTACTGCCCGGCTGTAATTTTCTTTTTAGAGATATTTTTATTTCTGTGTGTGTCTGTGTGTCTGTGTGTGTGTGTGTGTCTGATGCCACACGTGTGGGGCTGGCTGCAGAAATCAGAAGAGGAGCTGGAATTACAGGCAGGTGTGAGCTGCTTGACATGGTGCTGGGAACTGAACTCGGGTCCTTGGCAAGTGCTCTTAACTACTGAGCCATCTCTTCAGCCTCGTGATGGTTAGTCTTGATTGGCAGTTTGATTGGATCGAGAGCTGCTAGGAGAATAAGGTAGAGAATAAGATGCAGTGCACCTCTGGCTGGGTCAGTGAGGACAGATCTAGGGACAGTTGGGTCCTAAGGGCTCTGACCTAATGGAAAGATTCATCCCTTGGTGATGGCATTGGTGGTGGTGAATAGGAGGCAGAGCCTGTTTGGAGGAATTGGGTCACAGGGTTTGTCTTTGGGACTGTGTCTTGCCTAACCTTTTCTGTGTGCACATTCTCTCTGTCTCTCTGTCTCTCTGTGTGTTCTCCTCATCAGTTTTGAGGTCCCCTTCCCCAGTCACACTTCTGCCACATGGAGACTGTGTCTCAAAACAAAGCAACCTCCCTACCAAAGTTCCCAACATAAAATAGCCGGATTTTGTAATTGTTTTTGGAAGTTTGCTGAAATTATGATGGTTTTGTAGACCTGAATAATTGATTTCAGAAATTTCTACCTCTTGATGAGCTAGCTGACTATAAATACACAGAACAGAGGGTGACTTTCAGGAAACACGTTCGGTACACTCTTTTTTTCTATTTGTATATTGAGGTCAGCCCCGAGAAGATTGGGGCTTGAGCAGCAGCAGCTACTATCTAAAGCAAATGGTTTCAAGACGTGTCTATCCACAAGGTAGTAGAGTTTTAATGTACTTTCTTTGACTTTTGGCTCACATATCATATAAAGAATATTAGCATCCATGTCTTCCAAATGCCTCCCAAATCCAGGCAGCTCCCTGCAGATCCTCTGCCTGGATGTCTGTTGGTTTTCCAGTAGAACAAGAGTTTTTAATATCTAATCTTAACTTTGCATACAGATCTTTCAACACAGTGTTTTAAATGGATGTTTGTAGGTGCAAATTTTATGTTTATTTTCTGTGAACTGTGTGCAAGAAATGAATGGCATTGCAGATATAGTTGATGGACTACTAGAGTCATTTGGGTCTGGTATGGTCAGAATTCTCTGTGTCACCAAGACAGGTGCTGGCACAAAGACCCTATGCCCAGCAGCTGCTGCTGGCCCTTATTTTTGATGTTAGGCCTGGAAGTGTTGTTTTACATGTTGTTGTATAAATATGTGCAATAGTTATTCGACGCATAGGAATCTTGTCTTTTATTTTTAAGAAATTCTTTAGAGGATTTTAGTTTTTCCAATTGATTGACTGATTGATTGTCAGGGTCTCATATAGTTAAGGCTGGGCTTTGAACTTTCCACATATTGACCCTCACATAAGTTTGTGTTTTGGGTGCATATATTGTTGTATATGTATGTATATAAAACTCTCTTTTTAACCAAATTGTTTTTCTTATGATAGAATCATGTGGTAGTTCTTTTCCTTTGTAGTTTTTTGTTGTTGTTGTTATTGTTGTTTTGTTCTGTTTTTGTTTTTTTTGTTTTTTTTTTGAGACAGGGGTTTTCTTGTGTTTTTTTTTTTAATGATGGAGATTGAACTCAGGGCCTACAGGTTCTGAGCATACACTCTGCCTCTGAGCTACTTCCCTATCTCCGTTCCTTGCATTTTAAACGCTGATGCCCTGTTAGAGGTGGATGCATCTCTTCGTACCCGTCCATAAAACAAATGCTAATATCCCAACCATACCACCAACTGTCACTTCAAACAAAAACTCACTATTGGGTGTTTAATATCTGGTAAGGATAACCCTAGTCACAGGCTGACAATACACAGGAAGTGGAGGCCCCTGTTCTCTTCAGGATAGAAGGGAGAGGGAGAGAGAGGGTCATTTGTAGGTAGTTTACTATTCGCCATGACTTCTTATTGGCAAGACCAAGAAAGAGCACAAACAAGCAAAGCTCAGACCATGATATTTCAGAAATTCAACTTAATTTTTCTATTATTGTGTCGTGCTGTGGTTCTCTGAGGCTAGAGTTAACAGGCAGCTGAGAGCTGCCTTATGTATGTTCTGGGAACCAAACTCTGGTTCTCTGGGAAAACATCAAGAACTCTTAACCATGGATAAGGTTAAAGGTTCTGAAGCTAGCATTATAGATATTTGTAGTGTATGCCTTTAATCCCAGGACTCAGACAGGCAGATATCTGTTAGTTCAAGGACAACTTGGTTTACAAGTTCCAGGATAGCCAGAGCTATGCAGAGAAACCCTGTCTCGAAAAACAAAACAACAGCAACAGAAAAACCAAGCATCCTGAATAGATAGCCAGATTCAAGCCTAAGGGGACTGTGGCATTTGGATGCAGATCAGCTGCTCAGGGCAGATTCCACAGAGACTGAGATGTGTGAGGTCGATGCCTGACTGTAGGTGAGCAAGGGCTTTGTGTTCAGTCTCCAGTTGCTTCTTTTCTCCCTTGGCATTCAACATTCAGCAGCTTTTTTTTTTTTTTTTTTTTTTTTTTTTGGTTTTACGAGACAAGGTTTCTCTGTATTATTTTGGAGGCTGTCGGTCCAGCCTGGCCTCGAATACACAGAAATCCGCCTGCCTCTGCCTCCCGAGTGTTGGGATTAAAGGCGTGCACCACCACCCGGCTTCAGCAGCTTTTATAACTCTTCTGTTGGTGTCTTGTTGGCCGGACTCAGTTCCCTAGCCTCAGTTTCCCTTTCCCTGAGAAAGCCTGTGAAATGCGCCCTTTTAGCTTGATGGCTTGCCACATGCAGCCGAGTAACTCAAGCAGACTGCTTAGAAGGAGGA